CAAAATAAACAACAAAACAAAAATTTCTTTTTTTTAACGAAGAGTAGTTAGCAGCTCAAAGGAAGACTTCTTGTAGTTGTAGGCTTTTTCGTTTATTTCCGACATGTTTCGTCTCCTACTGAGACTTCTTCAGGAAATGAACACAACTAACAAAGAACAGCATATATAACACGTTTTCTGCTAAGTAAAACTTCCAATAAAACTGAATAAAAATAATAACTTATTTAAACTATGTTGTAAACGGACTATACAAGAAACGCCTTAATTATTGTGTGCTGTTATATTTTGGGGGTCATACCATCAACGCTAATCGTATGGCCCCCCAAAACTCAACGGACCCTTAAACCCTTGGGCGTACAAGGTAGGGGAGTGGGTGCAATCCCCGGAAGGTGTTTTTTGAATCAACCACCAAGTCAAGTCATCACCTGATCAACACTTGGCGTCGGAGCGGGAGCTCGTGCGCAATACCAGAACCATAAAAAACCTGAATGACTTTTGAAACAGTCATGCAGTCTGCAAAACAGCTATATAAGATGACCAAATTCAAGGTTTTGTAGAGAACGTGAACCCGAGATACTACTCTTTTCTCTATCAGAACTTTAACCTCCTCCCCTACAAATCCCAAACGCAGGTAGCTCGGTTACTTAGTGGAAATTTAACTAGCCAATGTAGTTTTAATCATGTGGATTTTTCTTTTAATTAGTTACTTTTTCCTTTGTATCGCCCTTAGTTAGCTTTAACTAACTAGACTTCCTCGTTATGACCTGTGGACCAAAAAAAAGTATTGCCAATCCTCTTTGAAACATAATAAAATTTTTCTTTATTTTATTAATAATTTTTAATGTTAAATTTGGTAATTTCTGTTTACCCGCGACCTTTACCAGCACCCGCGACATTTAGACATACTCAGTTGTGAAACAACTCAGACATTTTTGCTTTTGTTTTTTCATTTCACCGATAGGTAAATCAATGTAAACACAAGCCAACGCATATTTAACCCATTGGCTTCTCAGTTTTAAAAGAAAAGTGACAATAAGTATGCATGAACTCTTATCGGTTTCACCGTTGTCTTCACGACGAGAAACCCGGCTAAAACATACCGTCCCAGAAGGACTATCTTAAAGTTCCTAATGACTTCCTTTTATGACGGTTGACGGTTAAATTTTAGGCTGTTTGACGAAAGACAACTAAACTTTTCATCTATGGCTTTTTCTTTCTTTAACAGGCCGCTGGAGGAAGCTGAATTACGGAGCAGTGTGCTTTAGTGCACGCGGTGAACGGCCTGGCAGGTTTTATGTTCCCTACGGTAACTTAGCAGCCATAAAGTTGGTTCACCTGTACGGTTACGTCACCTGTGACAAACATACTAGTTCCAGCTGGTCTTACTGGGGCTGTGATGTACCTGTCGTAAGATACCACGTTGGTGTAGCCATAACAACCAGCTCGAGCTACGAAGCCATCCTGCCGCTGAGCAAGTTTCTGTCAGGCAGTAGCGAAGTGAAATCAAGGAAATGGTCCCGCATTCCTGGTTATACCGGTTTGTCTTCTGCGCTTGTCCTGTCGTTTGATCACCCTTACCACTCTTCAGGGGAAACGTTCCGTTTGTGGTATGGTGAAGATTTGACGGATTCCACCGAACACGACAACGACGGTCGAACCTGTTGCGATGTTTACGGGAGGTTTGTTTAACTCAGATGTTCACAACCTCATTCAGAGATGGGGAGAGGATTCCCGAAATGATACACCTATTGTATTGTAATTCAATAAAGTCTTGTTATTCCAGAGAACGTTAGTTTGAAATTGTGACACTTTGTAATTCATTGTCCTTGAAACCGTTTATGAAATTATCGGTTTACGAGATCGTTTGCATCGCTCATGCGTGGACGGAATTCGTAGCAGGTCTCTTTTCCTCAGTGAGCTTTTGCAAGTCGACTGATCCACCATGGAACCCCGCCTTTTGTAGCCGCTGGTTTTGTATTCGAGAACAACGATACTGTTTCGGTTGTTTTTCTAATCTTCTGTCGCAGATTACTCGACATTACGCGGCAGCTCAGCTATTTTTGCCAGCTAACTGCATGTCGATGGCATTTCAAAACACGATCGAATTCTTTTTTTACTATTATTTATTTATTTTACTTCATATTTTATTTTATTTATTTATTTACAAAAAAATAATTACAAATGCGTGTTCTTTTAACTATTCAAAACTATTTTCTATCACAGCGGGCTGAAAATAATATATATATCAAAAGAAAACTAAATTCGTACAGGACAGAAACTAAATTAAAAGGAAAAAAGACGCAAACCTAATACGTGAAACAGTACAGCAGTACAGTGTAGCTTAAAGGAATATGTGTTATGGAAATGACACTACCATTTACATATCTAAACAAATTTCGGCCCATGCTTTTTTAAATTGCACATTCCGTTCCCAAATGAACACGTGGCAACTAGTAGCTCTTACAATAGTATGGTGAGCGTAGATCAATATTCATTGAGAGACTATAGCACACCGTGTTGGATGCAAGCATCCTCGGAGACCCAGGGGTAGTCAGTCGGGCCGGGAGAAAAGACGCGACGAAAGTTTTCATTCATGGGGGCAAGAGCCCCTGGATACCGACTCTCACCGGACTATTTCCAAATGGTCAAGCGAATGCTGGCTCCTGATTGGGCAAAAAAAAATGCTTTGTATTATTGTGCTCAATCGGCGAACAGTTTCTTCTGAGTTCTTTTCGTGAGTTCCTACACGACGGCTATTAACACTGCTATTACAGGTGTGCAGGATCCACCAGCGACTTGAGGAGGAGTGCGTGAAATTTGGAACGGCTCTATGTGGTGACTTACTCGAGAGCTAGACATTCTAAAAGTCCTTTATTTTTTTCCCTGGTTGGTTATGCCATTTTAAAGGACTTTTCATACCCGTTTGGCGGGAAATTCACCGGTCGAAAATTCCTCCGGTGACGTCATGACAACAGTCCACGTTCGATATATTAAAATTCTACCATGTCTCCGTAGACCACGAGTAGTCCCCATTTTTCCTCAGAGATAGTTAAGAGAGCGAAACGTCAGCGCATGTTAAAATTACGCGCTCTCGCGTTTCGCTCGCGCGGATGTCCCTGATGACAAATGGGGACTACTCGTAGTCTAATGTCTCCGAGGCTTTACGGTCAGGCGAAACAGGTCGACCTCGAGACACTTCGTCGCTCGCCAGGTCGCTGCGCAGTCTCATGCATCGAAGGTAGCTTCGCTCATTTTTAAGAGGTTGATTTGTAGCTGAGTCCACTCGAGAGCTAACTCACATGAAAAGCCAAGACAAGATTCATACACAATTTATTGACGGATTGAAACGTACCGCTTGTCTTTAATCAAAGTTCGGTGGGCAGTTTCTTTCTCATGTGCTCATGGTTTCAAGCCCCACGTTACGTTACGGGCGTCTCTCTCTTTTTTGCACTCACTTTACAATTTCCTAACTCTCTCCCGGCAAGCCTGAATTTTTTGGGCCTTTGTTTATTTACTGCGTAAGTTATGACATCACTTTAACTCTGATGATCTCCTTTGTATTTATTTTTCTTTTTATTCCGCGGATCCAATATATGCCAAAATCATATACAGTCGAACGTCTAATGTAACGGCACTCGGACAGTCCATACTTGACTCTTGCTTAAACCTCCCTACACCGGCCACTTTCTTGTCCCCAAGGTGGCCGTTGCGGAGAAGTTCAACTGTATTCATCTTTCCCGGTTCTCTCTTACTTAAGAGTCCCCTTTTCACAGACTAGCTTGTGGCTAATGTGTTCTAATACTTTCAACTCTAAGCCTATAGTTTTTTTTAGAAGCTTTTTAGTAGTTCAGTCTAGAACACTGATGTAGATAACTAGTAACACGAACTACCAAACAAACCGGTTCATGAGTGCAAACTACATCAATTGTAATCAAATTTTATCTCTCTTAATCAAAAATTGGAAAGCAAGACAAAGAGTTAGAGCAAGGCTGTCTCCTACTATTCATTATAGGGCCCTGAAAACGGAAACTTAACTCATTATGAAATTGACGTTAAGGCTTAAGTTTCCCAAGTTCGATTGTTAAAAAGTAGAAATGAATTTTTAAAAGATATAATTTCAAGGGGGACTGAAGAATAAACGTTAAGTTTGGAGTAAATTAAAAATGTCTGACACTATGGAATCTATTTTATTTATACCTCACGAAAGAAGTAATTCTCAGCCCCTTCGTGCTTTGAATTGATTAGTTTTTTTTTAAAATAGCACTTCAAATCAGTTTAATCTATTAAATGCTTCATGTTTACACGGGCAATACGTTCAACTCAGTCAATAGTTTAAGAAAAAACAGGCTACGTTCACACGGCATGCACCGGACGAATTTTTGACCAGTTGAACAATTCGTACGTTTACTAATATTCCGTTTACACGAAGTCAACTTAACTGTACGAAAATGTAGACGCCCAGCCGTTTTCAAAGGTACGTGTGAACGGAGCAAAATGTTCAGGAACGGTCCCGTGAGAACAAATTGTCCGTTCAAATGTTCCAACCGGTAGAAAATTCGTCCGGCGCCGTAGGAACGTAGCCACATTTTCATCTCAAAAATCATCATGTTTATCAGAGACTTTTATTGATTGGTAACTTAGTTGTTAAAATTCCGTTGAGAGGAGGATAAAGTAAAAGACCATTTCTGCTTGCTTCAGTTGGTAAATTGACGCGACTTCTTATATCTAGCTGCACCTGTGATGTCGGTGATGAATAACCTGCTTTCATTGTTTTCGGTTATACTGCGCATGCTCAGAGACATTCGCTACATTCGCTATCAAGGACAAAAATATACAATAGAAATATCGAATTAGTAATACATTGAACTCGTGCTTGCTGTGGAAAAGATATGAAATCACTGTGAGAGGAGGATCGCAAAATGCAATATTCTCGCAAGCAAAACATTTTACTGACGATGAAAATATTTTTACTGGTGTGCGGTTGTGTTTTCTTTGGCAAAATGACAAGAACACTCAAAACGATTCCCTGGGTAGCGAGACTAACTGGGCATGTGCCGACTGTCGCGGATGTGAATTTCATGATGGTTAACCCTTCGGTTCAACCTTTGCTGCCTGCAGAAGAGATCTTTCTTCTTGTCCTCGTTTCGTCGGTTCCCGGAAGCGACTATCGATTCGCTAGGAACGCTATCAGGGAAACGTGGGGGATTAGCCTTGACTGTAGAAGTAAAAATGATCCGTGTCCATGGAATGTCGTTTTCCTACTGGGAAGAAGCTACCAAGACACGCTAGATTCGCAAATCATGGAGGAAGCGCGGGCTTTCAACGACATTCTAGTAGGAAATTTTAACGACACTTACATAAACCTAGTCATTAAGCTATTCATGGGATTTTCCTGGGCCTCAAAGGTCAACTGTCGCTTCGTTTTAAAGGCGGACGACGATATCTACGTTCGTTTACCGAAACTAGTATCATGGCTACATCATGCACCTTCATCGCGCTTGTACGCTGGGCACGTTCACAATAACGTTGGCGTCTCGCGGGATCCCGATGAACGAAACCCACTTCCACCAGGATCTTCTTTCGACGAGAAATACTACCCGCCTTATTGCCTAGGGGCTTTCTATGTACTTTCGCGGAGTATTATACCAGATATATTAAAAGCTGTGCAGCGATGGAGACCCTGGCCAATTGAAGATACATATATTGGTGTATTAGCTCGCGATGTAGGAGTATCACCAATCGATATTTACGGCTTTGTTTTGAAGGCAAGAGCAAGCCGAAATTTGCCGCAATTCACGGATTGTTACTGGGATTGTATCACTGCTCTTGGACACAGGCTTACACCCACTCACCTTCATCTTGTTCACAATAAATTTCAAAACTTGTTATACTTTAACAGCTCCACGTGTGCGGTGAATACCTGCGGCGAGGAAAATGGCAGCCGCTCGTTATGTGTAGGTTATATCGTGATTTTTATCGCGGCCATTCTTTTAGCAGCGTTCGCTTATTTGAGAACGCGAGATTAACGTTAAACATGCAATGGTTCTGTGAAAGGATAAATATTTGAATACTTACACAGAGAATGTTTCTAGGGGTAAATCTTTTGAATGATAGAACGAGTCTGCCAACAGTCATTTCTACATTATTTTAAAAAAAAAGAGATTGCAAAGTAAATTATATTTTCTGCATCTCAAAGGATATTCGAAGTAAAAAAGAAAATAAAAGACCTCACTGAGTACACATTGGTTTATTCAAATTATTATCACAACCGCCCCCGGGTCACCCTCGGAGACCCAGGGGTAGTTAGTCGGGTCGATAAAATGTTCGTGGTGAAAGTTTACTGTAAGTTTAACATTTTATCGACCCGAATAACTGCCCCTGGGTCTCCGAGGATGCCCCCGGGTGTGCAAAGCAAAATAATGCAGTTTCCAAAACAGAACAGGTTGGTGGCCAAATATGCAAATGATTGAGGACGAGATGGGTTAAATATTTTATTACCGCCCTTCAATTCTGTAAAACAGGAGCTACCGAAATTGAGTGAAATAAACAGAACTAGTCATAACTATTATGTTTCTTTTTAGTAAATCAACGAGACAGCTTTTATTGACAGTTTACTGACCAGGTGATAAAATGGTTGGCTTCTGACAAAGTGATGAACAGAGCGGCTTTCAATGGCACCTTTCAAAAAACATAGGCACGTTAAACGTGCATGAGCTATTTTGAATGCTTCAGTGTAACTATAATACTTCGGTGTAACCTTACCAAGAGTGATGAATCTACCTTGAAACAGGTAGATACGAAAACATTCCTCGCAATGAAAGGATATGTCACTTTTGTACAAGTAACAAAATCGAAGATGAAAATCATTTCTTACTAGATTCTAAGGCTTATTCTCAGATCAGAGACATATTTTTCTCCAAACTAGAAACTAAAATACCTGCCTTCAAATGACTTTCACACGATACTTTAATATCTCTTCTTATGAATTCTTCTGATTATTTAATCAACTGTCAGTTAGTTTCATTTATCTCGCAATGCTTTGAATTAAGGACCAAATTAATATCAATGAATGAATGAATGAGAACTGTAACGTTTTGTAATGTTTTGCACGTACTAATTATGCACCTATCAATGTAAAGCCGGCGGGGGGGGGGAGGCAGGGCATGGGGAGGGGATTTGATTGTCTTTGTTGGCCCTGGGGTAGGGCATCTGACTGATCTTGTTGTCCCAGGGGAGGGGATATTTGAATCTTTCTTCGCCCGACGTGGAGATATTTGACTGCGGACTCGGACGAAAAAGACTGAACATATGTTTCCCGCTTCCACACTTCATGCATGCGCCGTACGGTTTGAAAAGATCAGGAAGTCACAGAGGCCAATGAGAACTAGCCTGTGTACAGACGTCCCCCTGTTTTAGCGTGTTTTTGATCAGTTGAATCTCTTAAAATACTGTGGTATCAAAGTAAATGGAAGTAAAGAGAAACCAAGTCGATTTTTGCAAGTACAGTTGATTAGTGTATGGCTCATTCGCTACAATCACAGTAAACTTATAAAACTGCCTTTCTTTGTACCCTTTACTAAGAACGGTATATTTAAACTTACAAAATGTGGACTTTCTCGTAAAGGTTTATGTATTCTACGCAGTGTAACACGGATTATGGTTAAAACGTATAATTGCAGCTGTAACAGGAACATGTATCTTTGGTGATGCAGCAACGTTTATAAAAGATTGCAGAGTTTTATTAGGAGATATTTTTATTCTGCCTTTCTTGGGTTCTGCCTTGGGATTGACAGCAACGTGCAGCCTGGGGTGGGGGAAATTTGGTGGCATTTGACTGGAATGATTTGCCCGTGGGCAGGGAATTTGATTGCAAATTTTTGAAAAAAGTCAAATCCCCACCCCATGCCCTGCCTCCCCCCCCGCCGGCATTACATTGATAGGTGCATTAGTTGAATTAGTACTTAAATTTAGACTAATGGCTTTTGCAATACTGTAATTCCTTTATGGTCATGCAAATAAAGGTTTTGGTGTTACCTTTTTCATCCTAAATGTAGATTTGGTTTTTGTGCGAAATTGGGTATTGCGCTACATAAATGAAAACGCGAAACGCTCAGCTCAGTCGATCCTCAACCTATATATTCACTTTCCTCTGTCTTTCCCTGTTACATCTGGTGCAAGTTAAACAAATTGTTGAAGTAAAATAAATTTCTACTCACCAAACGTTGATTAGAAGGAAAACTCTAAGGTTTCCGCGGAGTTTCTTAAGCCAAAATGTGACTCATCGAATACTCCATAGTTACGAAATACCAGGATTTTTATCATTGTGGTAGATGGTTGCATCATCATAATTCACGAGGTTTTCACGTGCGATTCTACTCAGTGAAACAGTCTTTAACTTCGACAACTTATTTCTTCATGTTTTAAAAGCTATTGCTTCTTAAAAGACAAGAGCCTCTTTTAAGGCATTGGTTACAAAACGAAACAGGTCTTCATACGTTCAAGTTACTATTTATCATTGTGAAAAGCCAATCTGCATGAGATGTACAGTCACACAGCTGGCACGTGAAAGTGTTGGACTTTGCCCCCCTTCGTGGTTCGTACGTGAGGGAATTCGAGTTATCACACAGTAATCTAGTAAACAGAATTATAAAAATAACTCATGCACACAATTTGCAGGTGAAGATGTTGGTCTTTGGCCCTTTTACAATTCGTACGTAAAAAAAAGGCAAATTGTTTCACTACAAAATTTTCTCAAGCGATTTTAAGAAATCACCTCGGCTTTATTACAACACCTGCAATTAAATTATGTTTCATGCAACGTCAAGGTTGATAGCCTAACATTTATTAACTACCAAGAAAATTATCAAACTGCCGAAATATATTTCTACTTGTATCATGTTACTCCACTCAATACAACAGTATCTAATTTTGTGTCAACTAGCTTCTTCCAATTTTATTCCCTAACGCTACTGTTTCTACTTAAGTTACTCATCTTTACTAAATAAAATAGGTTTCAGAAACTATAATACTTAGTATGCAGGAAGGATGTATTATGTTGTTCACTTATTATTCTTTTTTTTTGTTTTGCCAGAACGAAAAAGGTCTGTGGAACTTTGTAAACAAGAGAATGATATTTTTAAAGCTTGTTTACAGGATTAACAATACTCGGTACAGCTTTCACAAAAATAAGCTCCCTTTTTAAACTTCTAAAACCACATTTTATAGGGCGCATACTTTCGAATTAAAGTCTCTATCTAAATATCAATTATTGCTTCATTGGAAGAGCTTTGAAAATATATGATCTTTTATACTCTACCCAGTTGTAGCGGGTGAAACAGAACTCATACTGACGTGCGTTGCACCGATAGCCGAATTAGGTCAGAAATGCCTTGAAGCAGCTGCATGACTGTACACAGCGTTTGAATCATGAAGATATTTAATGTAATTCTTCCAAACACCTGTAGCCGTAATAAGAGACGAAAAAATTGTGAAGAATCAAGATGGCGGTCTCAAAGTGCCCTTGTTCGACCTTTACCAATGCCATGTTTAAATAGATGCCAAGATCTCACTGGTTCCTAAGCATCAACTCATAGTACCTTCAACCTTATTGGCTCTTGCAACAAACATCCCAACATACAAAGCCACAAAGATACATACGCTCACACCACTGACATATGAGCTATTTTTTCAAAATAGCTCAAAAAGTAAAACCGAGGCAATTACTCCAATCAATCAAAATAAGAGGAGGCAGTCCAAGGAACCAATCAATTCTCGAGGTAAATACACGTGATACGCGTGGCAAGCGCTCAGCACAAGAAAATATTTGCAGGTTTTCTTGGCTCTGAAGACGCAGCGAGGTAACGAAACATAGGCACGTTAAACGTGCATGAGCTATTATGAATGCTTCAGTGTAACTATAATACTTCCTAATCCTAAATGTAGATTTGGTTTTTGTGCGAAATTGGGTATTGCGCTACATAAATGAAAACGCGAAACGCTCAGCTCAGTCGATCCTCAACCTATACATTCACTTTCCTCTGTCTTTCCCTGTTACATCTGGTGCAAGTTAAACAAATTGTTAAAGTAAAATAAATTTCTACTCACCAAACGTTGATTAGAAGGAAAACTCTAAGGTTTCCTCGGAGTTTCTTAAGCCAAAATGTGACTCATCGAATACTGAATAGTTACGAAATACCAGGATTTTTATCATTGAGGTAGATGGTTGCATCATCATAATTCACGAGGTTTTCACGTGCGATTCTACCCAGTGAAACAGTCTCCGACTATTGCTTCTTAAAAGACAAGAGCCTTTTTTAAGGCATTGGTTACAAAACGAAACAGGTCTTCATACGTCCAAGTTACTATTTATCATTGTGAAAAGCCAATCTGCATGAGATGTATAGTCACACAGCTGGCACGTGAAAGTGTTGGACTTTGCCCCCTTTCGTGGTTCGTACGTGAGGGAATTCGAGTTATCACACAGTAAACTAGTAAACAGAATTATAAAAATAACTCTTGCACACAATTTGCACGTGAAGATGTTGGTCTTTGGCCCTTTTACAATTCGTACGTAAAAAAAAAGGCAAATTGTTTACTACAAAATTTTCTCAAGCGATTTTAAGAAATCACCTCGGCTTCATTATACAACATCTGCAATTAAATTATGTTTTATGCAACGTCAAGGTTGATAACCTAACATTTATTCACATTTGTGAGACAGTCTTTAACTCCGACAACTTATTTCTTCATGTTTTAAAAGCTATTGCTTCTTAAAAGATAAGAGCCTTTTTTAGGGCATTGGTTACTAAACGAAACAGGTCTTCATACGTCCAAGTTACTACAGTATTATTAATGTGAAAAGCCAATCTGCATGAGATGTACAGTCACACAGCTGGCACGTGAAAGTGCTGTACTTTGCCACCTTTCGTGGTTCGTACGTGAGGGAATTCGAGTTATCACACAGTAATCTAGTAAACAGAATTATAAAAATAACTCATGCACACAATTTGCATGTGAAAATGTTGGT